TTTTAATAACAGTTTTTTCTTCCAGGATAATATCATAAATAGGGGACGTTACCCAGGAGTATTAGAATTAAAATTTAAGACTTAGGGATCAGTTTGAGAAGTAAAGCAGAAATCAAATTAGTTAATATTTTAAGATAATCGTGAGATGCCAAATAAGAGCCCTCAAAACTCATTTAAAACTGCTTTTATTAATTGTTTTTTGTCTAAATTTATTTAACAATAACAGACAATAGAGAAATTTATTAGCAACAGTTATTTTCGTTCTATTGTGTTTCAGACCTGAAAAAGTGTAACATGTTGTGACTCCACTCTTTAGATTCGAATCAAGGATCGCAATGTTACGAGCAGGTAAACCATCCATAATACTATGTGAATTTCCTTTTATTATATTCATCATCATCATCATCATCATCATCATAATTACAGCCCTTCACATGTCCCCTGCTGAATATAGGCCTCCCCCAAGGATTTCCACAAAGCACGGTCTTACCAGGTCGTCACTCCATCTAGTGGAGGTTCGCCCTAAACTTAACCTAGCGGTACGAGAATGCCACTCGAGAACTTTTTCCCCATCGGTTGCCAGTTCTTAGAATTATTTCGCCGGCTATTACCATTTCAGCTTACTCAACCGTCGGGCTATGTCGATCACTCTGGTTCTACTACGGATATACTCATTTCTAAGTTCTCATAGCTTGCTGAGCGACTTTGAGCGTCCTCATAGGGCCATAAGGGAAGGACCATGCCTCAGATCCATAAGGCAACACGCACTGGTTGTACAATATCGTTTTCAGGTTTTGAGGTATACTTGACGAGAAGATGTAGTTTCCTAAACGCTGCCCAGCTGAATTGAAATGCCGTCGATTGAACTCTCGGTCGAAGTTAGACTTAGGCAGTCGGACTATTTGTCCCAGGTAAACATACTCGTCAAAAACTTCGAGCTTAGCTCCCAATAATTACCGACATAATATGTGTGACATGGACATTAAACATTATTTTTGTTTTGTCCATGTTTATTTTATGACCTATCCGTTTGGAGACACTATAGAGGTCATTGAGCATAATGCTTAGGTCCAACAGCGATCCTGCCATAAGAACTATATCATCGGCACATCGAATGTGAGTGATGTACTCGCCGTTGATGTTAATACCGTATCCTTTCTAGTTCAGTAGCTTGAAAACGTCTTCCCTGCATTGGAAGAGTTTCGGGGATATAACATCAGCCTATCTTACACCTCTCTGCAGATGGATGGATTTCGTACTCTGATTCTGAATTAGCCATCGCAACCCTACTGTACAAACACTTTAGCACTTCGATATACCGATAGTTAACATGGCGCCGCTGAAAGGACTGTAGTACCGTCCGAATTTCGACGGAATAAAAGGCTTTTTCATAGTCCACATACGCAAGGCAAGGTGGCAGATTGTACTCTTCTGTCTTCTGTCAATTTACCAAAGGGTATTTGTGTGGTCTATGGTGCTAAAGCCCTTTTGGAATCTGGCTTCTTCGGGAGGCTGGAAGTCGTCAAGTCTGCGCGCCAGATGATTCGTAATGACTCTCGAAAACAGCACGTACACGCGGCTCAGAAGGGAAATCGGTCTGTAGTTCTTCAAGAGAGCATTGTCACCTTTTTTGAAGAACAAGACCAACGCACTTCTGCTCTACGCCTACGGAATAATGCTACCATGGAGGGCGGAATTAAAGAGCTTCTGAGGGACCTTAATCACCGGTTTTCCACCCACTTTCAGAAGCTCCGCTGTAATTCCAGGATGGCGTTTGCTAGGACAAACATCAGTTTGTTCCAGCCGGATATAACGCAAAAACTGACGGAGCGCATAGACGACCTGAAGCAGAGAATCGCTGCTTGGGGGAATCGGATTCGGCGATATACCGAGAGGTCGACACGGTTCAACCAGAATCGTCTCTTCCAGAGTGATCAGAAGAGACTCTATGAATCATTGGAACGACCAACGCTACGTGGAACGGGCCCAGCGCCGAATCAGGCTGACACTATCGCATTCTGGCGCGGCCTGTGGTCAGAGCCCGTAAACCACAGCGAGGGCCCTTGGAGGGAAGTTGTGGCGAGTCAGTGTGCGAATGCTACGCCCATGGACCCCGTCATCATAACGCCGAATGACGTAACTGAGGCGGTCCGTAGGGCCCCGAAATGGAAAAGTCCGGGACTCGACGGACTGCATCACTACTGGCTGAAGAGGTTCGTGGTGTGTCACGCTGTGCTCGCCCGACAGTTTCACGAGGCTCTCGACCAAAAGTCGCTTCCGAGCCTCTTCAATGCTGGGATCGCTCATTTGGTTCCTAAAGACCGGAATTCCACAGACCCGAGCAAATACCGCCCCATAACGTGTCTACCTACCATATGCAAGACACTAACATCCATTTTGAGTGCGAGAATCACTCGTCACCTGAACTCAAATCAGAGATATCGCGAGCTCAGAATGGATGTCGGGGCGGTGATCGTGGAACCAAGGAACCACTCCTCATTGACGCGGTCATTGGCAAGGTGGTTAAACGCAACCGTCGGAACCTCTCCGCCGCCTGGATAGACTATAAAAGGGCATTCTACTCGGTGCTTCATACATGGCTTAAGAAGGTCCTCGAGCTGTATAAGGTTAACTGTACAGTTACGTAGCCGAAACGTAGCCAGTAGAGGGAGGCGACCGTGTCTACGAAAGGCTCATGTAGAGCCTTGTAGAAACTCCCGTGGAGCTCCTTCTCCTTCCATACGGTATCCCGGTCGGAAATGCTCTGTACTGCCGGGTCTTGCCATTGGCTAAAAATAGAGGGGTAAGTCCTTTATCATAAGAAATTACGTCCCTATAGTATGGATAATCTGCTCTAGTCATAAAGTAATTACGGAGGCTGCACACTTCCGGTGAATCCCGGTCTTTAGGAACCAAATGAGTGGTCCTAGTAGTGAAGAGGCTCGGGAGCGACTTTTGGTCGAGAGCCTCGTGAAACTGTCGGGCGAGCACAGCGAGACACACAACGAACCCCTTCAGCTAGTAGTGATGCAGTCCGTCGAGTCGCAAACTCTTTTAAACATTTTAGAATAATTTTTGTGACATATTCTTTAAAAGCATCGGAAGGATTATATGATCTTTCATGGTAAAGGTCATATAACCTTCGTCTGCTTTTATGAATTCCTACTGTCGCCCACTCATTAAATGCCTTGCGACTGTTTCTGGAGAATGTTTCAGAAGTAAATGTTTTTAAGGTTAATAAGGTTAAATATATAATCCTTTTCCTAGAGCAACCGCTTCCATCATTCTGTTGTATCTTTCAGATTTCTGAAAACTATTTTGTGCTGCTTTTGAATAATTAACAGCTATTGCTATACCCGCTGCTCCACCAGCTAATGATCCTAAAGCTGACAATCCCGCAAATATGGGAATAAGCGGTAAAAGTCCTCCACAATTTGGAAGAGGAATACAACTAGGTAAACTTATTCCTTTTTTATTACAAAATATTTTCTTTGCGGTTGCATAGCCATATTTTATAACAAAGTGACTGTCTTTGGATTTTAGTTTTTTCTAACTGAGACTGTATATTTTATACCCTTCATAAATGCTTTTATATCACTCCTCGCCTGGATTTTTGCTTTCATCGCAGTTTTTACTATACATGAGGCAATTTTTGATCCTTTTCCAGCATCTTTCGATTACAACCTCCTCTTAGCCATATTCAAAAGTTCTAAGTCCGCTTTTTGTCGAGCTCTCGAATCTATGTTAATGTAAGCAATGTCATTGAGCATGTAAGCTTCATCCAATTTGTCAACCCCTCGATCGCCTTTGAGTAACCGTTTTCGAAGTTTTTTTCTAAAAATAAGTATTTAGGTTGATATAAAGACTTTGAATATACATAAAGGTTGCGAAAACGTGGTCCATTCTGGTGTAACAATAAACTGAAAACTAAGTAAGTTTTTCCGCAATTCGATGGACCGCAGGCAATACTACGAATAGTGTTTTGCAATAAGTTTCCATGATGTTTAACCTCATCTTTTAGTGCGGGACGGATACATTCTTATTTAAGTGATTATTTTTGTTTGAGAAATTTCATAATAGGTTTCAATGAACTAACGTTACTTCAATCACGTTAATAATTTAAACTTGAAAGAGCTATTGAAAATTATCTTGACCACCAGCTTTAGTTCAAATACATTCACTCACTCTCACTTCGCTCGAGCTACGTGCCGCTGAAGGCCGCAATTCTCTCCATTAGAGGTCCAAATTTTTAGTCTAACCAAATTAGTGCCAACATGTTCGCAATTATCTTTATTATATCAATTAATTTAACCAATCAAAATGTCCATCGTAATGTTTTAGTGGTTTGTACTACAAGCGGACTACAAAGCCAATCAAAATATTAAAAAATTCAGCTTATGTTTAAAAATAGCTATTTATAACAAAAAAAAAACAACTACTACTACATCGACTACTATGTGTTGACCCATTCCGTATTTGCATGAGTACATACGTTTACTATATGTACAGATCCCAAAAAATAGCCGCTAGGAGATAGGGTTCATGAAATGAAACTCAGCTATCAATTAGCAGTAGGATTCAATAAGCATCGTATATTATGTAAAGAAACCTTATGTACTATTTGAAACAAATCTTTACAACGTGATATAAATAACACAAGCTATGGACAAAACGACATCTAGTAAAAATTAAAATAAACTAAATATTGTAAACAAAGTAATTGACAGATTTCATACATCCCGCCCGCCATGAACAGATTGTCCATAAACTATACATAACCACACGACACATATGTACTATGAATAAAAGAATGAATAAAAGTTATAACATACAGCTGTTAATAGTATGTTAAAGTACATATTTCATAACAATAAAAACATAAGTACTAAAATTTACAATCCTTGAATATTTTATTCCAATATAACACAAAAAAAATTACTTAGAATAATGCATTTCATTCAGTAAATAATAACAGACAAACATCTTAAGAATACTTGTATTCATTCAGTAATAGGCAAAACACAAATTTTTGATACTGGTCTTTTAATAGTAACACCTTTGCATCGTAAAGACACCACACGGGTAACTCCATCCAAACCAGGATGTTTTGCTATAATTATCCCATAGAGCCATCTAGCCGGAGGAAGATCGTCCTCCTTCACCAGTACAACATCTCCAATTTTCGGGTCAGGAGTATGCCCTTTCCACTTATGGCGTTGTAAAAATTGTGTGAGATATTCACGAGACCATCGCTTCCAAAAAGTTTGCACCATACGTTGGGTGATCTGCCAACGTTTAAGCGAATTTATATTAGAAGTTAAATAATTTTCATCTGGAACGAGAACCAATTGTTCTCCAACCAAGAAATGTCCCGGTGTGAGAGGGAATGGATCATCCATGTTATTATTTATTCTTGATATTGGCCTCGAGTTCAGACAAGCCTCGATTTGAGACAACACTGTACTAAATTCTTCAAATGTCAACAAAGAGTTGCCTATCACTCTTTTGAGGTGGCTTTTTGTAGACTTAATACCTGCTTCCCGTAGACCTCCAAAATTAGGACTATAGGGTGGAATTCTGTGCCAGTAAGTTCCATTATTAGCGAGCCAATCAGCAATATCAACAGCCACACTGGACCTTTCTTCTGTTAGGAGGACTTGTAATATTCGATCTGCACCTACGAATGTAGTAGCGTTGTCACTCCATAATTCGGAACAATGTCCACGTCTGGAGACAAACCGTTTCAACGCTGCAATAAAAGCTTCAGAAGTAAGATCACTTACTAATTCGAGGTGCACAGCTCTAGTTGCCATATAAATAAAGAGACATATATATCCCTTTGTAGACCGATATCCTCTGCCTTTTCCTATTTTTATTGCAACTGGACCAGCGTAATCTACTCCGCTATGACTAAATGGTCTACTTGCTCTCACTCTGGCAGCAGGTAACTGGCCCATGATTGGATTATTAGCTCTAGATGTATAGCGCAAGCAAGTAATACATTTGTGTATATAAGATTTTAATAAGTTTTTTAAATTAATAATCCAGTATCTTGACCGAATGAAGTTAATCATTAATTGTGGGCCCCCATATAAGGTTTTCTCATGTGCATTTGCAACTATTAGTGTAGCCAAGTTAGAAGCACGGTGAATTAAAATAGGATGCTTTCGTTCTATTTCAATTTGAGCCAATTGCAGTCTACCGCTAACTCGCCAAAGTCCATTGTCATCCTTATAAGGATTAAGGGAAGAAAACGTTCCTTTCTTATCGGTAATACGATCATTAAAATATTGTTTTTGACATTTTTTAATACAAATATTTAAAGCTTCTTACAACTCCTTTGATGTCAACCAACGAGGTTTTATAGTATTCCGATAAAGGAAAAATCTTCTACACCAAGCAACCACTCGTATAAGTTTACGTAAGGATGAAAATCGATTAATAATATAATCTTCTTCCAAATGTAATACTTCAACGCAGCATAATTTCGATCTTTGTTCTAAATTAGTATCCCATTCCTGGACATTTTTATTGCAAACAGAATTCTGTTTTAATATTTTCTGATGCAGCCAATCAGGTCCTTGTTTCCATAAATATAAAGTTTCTAAAACTTCCGGACTCACACTCCTAGAAGCACAATCAGCGGGGTTATCTTGAGATTTCACATGAGACCACTGATTTCGACCGAAATGTGTGACAATCTCAGATACTCTATTACCCGCAAAAGGCTTTCATCTGCTCGGGTGACTGCTCAACCAAGCAAGTACCACTGTTGTGTCCATCCAAGCTCGTACTCTATTGAGTGGTAAGCAGAGAGTCTTTGCTACTTCATATAACAGCTTAGAAAGCAAAACAGCTCCACACAATTCTAAACGTGGTATGGAGACTTGTTTGACTGGCGACACTTTAGTTTTTGATGCTATCAAACTTACATGAAGTTCGCCGTTTTCTTTTACAACTCGAGCAAATACAACTCCGGCGTATGCTTGGTTAGATGCATCGCAAAACCCATGTAGTTTTAAAAGTTCTTTCGTATTGGTGAATATCCATCTAGGAATACTAAAGCCTGTAATGAATGAAAGTTTACTCCTAAAATAAAGCCACTCCTGTAACAAATTAGAAGGTAAGTCTTGATCCCACTCAATACCTGACATCCAAATCTTCTGAATGAAGATTTTGGCAGTAATTACTACTGGTGCTATCGATCCTAATGGATCGAATAACCTAGAAATATCTGAAACAACCTTTCTCTTTGTAACAGGAGTTGTTATTTGTGGTAACTGAACACGATACTCAAAACTGTCAGTTACATTATTCCAATATAATCCTAAAACCTTCGTGAAACTTTCATTTTCTTTTCCAACATTTAGTTCTGTTTCCACTTTGACTTTTAACCACTTCTCCAGTTTTTTCTAATAATTCTCTACTATTATTTCCCCATTTTTGAAGTTGAAAACCTCCCTTTTGCATTATTTTATTAAGGTCTTTGTACACTTGTACACCTTCTTCAACTGTTTCACAACCACTCATCAGGTCATCCATATAGAAGTCTTAGGGTACTCTTTCAGCTGCTGAAATCATATCTTTACCCTCATCATAAGCTAACTGCTGAAGAGTACGTACAGCAAGATAAGGCACTGATGCAGTTCCAAAAGTAACACGTAGTAGCCTATAATGGCGTAACTCACCTTCTTCGTCATGCCATAAAATACGCTAAAAATCTTTGTCACTTTTGGAAACCTCTATTTGTCTGTACATTTTAACTATGTATGCTATTAAGCATATGGGTCGTACGCGCCAACGCATAACTAAATTTCGTAACTCGAGCTGAAGAACAGGGCCAACCATAAGATCGTGATTAAGAGAAATCCCGTTGTTACCAGAACATGAAGCGTCGAAAACAACTCTAAGCTTTGTTGTAGACTTATCCGCACGAATAATGGCATGGTGAGGCAAATAAACCGCACAAGCATTGTCCCTTTCTTCCTCTGGTACGATTTCCATATGGTTAAGATCAATGTATTCACGAATAACGGCAGAATATCTTTCCTTTAAATCTGAATTCCTTGCCAATCTTTTTTCTAAAAGGTGAAGTCGTCGCAAAGCAATGTGTCTAGAATTTCCATACTGGCACTTTGGATCCTTATCACGAAAAGGAAGCTTTACAATATATCTACCTGAATCATTTCGGGTTGTAGTATTAGCAAAAATAGTTACACATTTTTGCTCCTCTTCAGTGAAAATTATTTTACAGGTACTAGCAGTTGGTTCTGTTTCTAATTCCCAAAACTTCTTCAATAATTCATTTTCATCAACTTGCAAATGAAAGTTTAAGATGGTGTTACATTTATTTGACTCAAAACTATCTATAAATGTTGAGTTAATTTGACCAGATAAGATCCACCCCAGTCTACAGGTAATCCAGAAGGACCTTTGATTACGCCATCTTCTAAAATCTGAGCAAATAACTCTGCACCAAGTAAGAGATCAATTTTATTAGGCACACCAAATTTTGGATCTGCCAGTTTAAGTTTGCCTATTTCAGGCCACATCTTAACTACAACTTTCTTAAAGGGCTGAAGTGTTGTAAGTTTGTTGAGGACGTGTACCTTTGCTTCTACATAAAATGTGGGATCGTGGAGTGAACGCAACCTAATAAACACCACAAACCTTGACTTAAGCAAAGAACTGTCCTCACCCCCTATTCCTGAAACTACGAGTTTTATTGAAACCTTCTGCAGTCCAAGTGCTTGAACTGCTGACTCCGTAATAAACGAAGCTTGTGACCCTTGATCCAACAAACATCGCATTGTCATCTCAACACCTTTAAGTGATTCAGCTTTCACTAATGCCGTTGCTAACAACACTTGACTATAATTACTTAAAAAACATGTGACTACTGACTCTGGCTTTGACTCCTTCTGATTTTCATGAATGGCAGTTGTTGAATTAACAGTAACATTTATACCAACTGCCTCCGTATTCTCCTTGCGATTCGTGGGATTATTTACAGGATGAAGCAACGAATGATGCTTCCTCTTACAAATTTGACATCGTGAAGAGTGTCTACAATTAAAAACAGAATGATTATCTCCTAAACAATAGCATAACCTCCTGGCTTGAGCATAGTCCCGTCGCGATTCTATAGTTTCCTTGGAAAATAACTTGCAATTGCATAATTTGTAATTGCCTTTACAAAATGAACAACATAAATTATTGTTATTAGACGTACTATCATTGGCATAACACACTGTTGCCTTACATTGCCTCGTTTTAGGTTTAGTATCTAATAATTCCAATGATCGAAACTGATATTCCAAAAAATCTTTAAAATCAGACAACTTAGGCAACTCAGAAGTTAATTCACTTGACTTAGCTTCCCATTGTTTTCTGGACTCAGGATCAAGTTTCTGGCTCATTACATAAACAATAATTATATCCCAAGTGCTAATATCTATACCTAAATTCTGCAAGCCGTTTAAGCATTCTATTATAGTGTCTAATAGTTCCTTGATCGCATTTGAAGATTCAAATTGAATAATTTTATGATTCAATAACCGTTTTAATATGTGGTTTGAAAGATATTTTTTATTATCATATCTACTTTTTAGTTGAGTCCAGCAAACTGAATAATTCTTACCCGTAATAGGAATGTGACGTACAATTTGTTCAGATTCTCCCGAAAGATGACTCTTAAGGTAATGTAACTTCTGGAAATCATCAAGAGTTTCACAGTTATCTACTAAACATACAAATAAATCTTTAAAAGAAGTCCAATCTGAATAATTCCCGTTAAAAATAGGTATAGTAATTTTAGGTAATCTAACATCTGAAAAACTTGAAACTTTCGATGATACTTTATCGTCGGAAGAAGTAGATTTAGGATTTTTGTCAGCGCATTCACACAATTTTTGTTTTAATATTGACTTATAATCTATATAACATTCTTCAGTTTTGTCGTAAACTTTCTTTTTGTAATATTCAGACTTAGTTAAATCTTCCTTTAATACCTTTAAAATATTGTACGATGAGTTTCACAAAATGAATTCCATTGAACCTCTAAATTTTCCAATTTACTTTCTATATAAAAAACTGTAATACGATCCTTTGAAGTTTTCTTAAAATTGACATAAGCCTTTTCAATTAAAGAACTAGTTTCTATTTGTAGACATTCACAAGCTGACGTATTCATTATTCTTTTATTGTAAAAAGTATTTTAAAAACAATAAAATTTAAATTTGACAACTTCAAATCAATACGCAAATTTTTCTAAGTCTTATAATAGATATTTATTCAAAAATTTCTAAGTATTTGAACAAATTGTACCTCGCTATGAAATTGGGTATAGGTTCCCCGTCACATCACTTTTTGGAGAATTATTCTATTATAATAAGTCTAATACTAGAATAACATTCTTAGTCTACAACATTTTCGAAGTCTACACACATGAATTAACTTAGAAAATTACCAACAATTTTTACTAAATATAAAGTACTAGAATCACGAAACACTTCATTTATCACCTTGTCGTCGAAATGTATCCATATGCGTCGCGTGTGGATGAAGATCCCGTCCACTGGCAACTGCTCCCAATTCAGACACCACGCATTAACAGCGCAGCGTGGTTGCACAGCGGAAGACACTGACTCACTACAATGATTGGCTTCTGCGCACTCACAAGTCGCCTAGTTACGCGTGCACCTTTTTTTACACTATACTTCACCAACACAAGCGCAATCACCTTAGCACAATGATCACAGAGCACTATCGACGACAATCGGCCTCCGTGTCGGCACAGCTATGGATACAGACA